CATTAAAACCATCTTTCCAAGCAGCCTCCATGTCTCCAGTGCCTTTTTCCCCACGTGGAGCCGAACCCAGAAGGACAATTCTTCCAACACTTGACAATAGTATTTCTTTTTTAATCCATCCTTGATCAAATGCAACATACAAATTGATGGAATGACTTTATGCTAGAAGCACTTGGCTTCAGAAGAGGAAATTCTGTGTAAGTAGTACACCGAATTTCTTCGATATCACTCTCATATTCATTATGGGCAAAGCTTGTTTGGAACATATTAATGCAGATTTTTGCAACATATGGAGAATATGTTGAACAGTAGAACAGTTGGGTTTTAGTTAATTCTTCAGTCACAAACAACACTGAGCCAGCCTACATAAATATATCATGTAGGAGGCTCCCAAGGGCATCTGGTTTAATACCCTGCTCTGTGCAGATAACTAAGATGAGCACCTACTGAGACCAGTTTTGGCTGGAAATTCTCCATTGAGAGAGCTTAGCAGTTTTTACATCATTTCTTTGGCCAAATGACTCAGTATCAAGAGGCTTTCTGTAATGTTAAATTAAACTTCCTGTAACCTGAGCCTGTAAGACTTGTTCTTGACTTCTAGGTACAGAAGGCAAATAGGAATACATCCCCGTAGTACAGTCTTGTAGATAATATAGAGTGCTGGAATGTTTATTTTATTCGTTTCTCTTCCACACTAAACCTACTCTGTACCTTCGCCCTTCCCTCTTACAGTGTTTTATATAATATAGTAGTAGAATATTTTCATTTACTTATTTTTAAGTTAAGCCTAAGAGAGATGATAGCAAGTTATTAGATGAGCAGCCCTGAGGACCCTCTCCACTCAGTAGATATTAGGTACACTATAATCAACCTATTGAATACCACCCTCTTAACCAGTCACTCATTTCTCTTCTCACATCATTCCACACAAGCAACATTTTTTCTTCCTTGACAGGGCCTCTAAATCTTGCCTAAGGAGAAACTGTCCTTATGTACACCTTATCTCACTGTTCTGGATAAAGTATTTTAACTATCTGTGAACAATTAGGTGTGAGAAGGTTAACAAAGAAGAGAGGGGCACCAGAGGGAAGGACAAGGAGTTGTGGGTGCTTCGTCACTGGAGGTTTTTAAGAAAAGACTGAATAGCAATTTGTCTCAAATAGTATATTAATTTTGGGGTTCCATTTTTTCAGCCATGCAAGACCCAAAACTAGTGGCCATTCCGTGCCAGGCGCCACTATAAATGTAAACATTTCCTCGTGGCTTCTGATGCCTATCTGTAGAGGCTCAGTGGCAAATGAAGCTGGCTCCCCCCCTGCTATTGATCCATCTAATTGGCAAAAAGCTATGGGGCTCTTCAGCTTCCTTACATTAATCTTCAACTTCCTTACCAGGGTTGGGCTGATCAAACAGCGGGTGTACCCCGAGTCCACTAAAGCAGAGATTTTTATCCTCTCCCAGTTGGGGGTAAACAGTCTTAGGGGAAGGGTAAGCAGTTTAATTGATTTGCTTACCAGTGGTTCATCCTCTGGATCACTTCCGGATGAGTATTGTTCCTCCTGCTGAGAAGCCGGGGTTTCCTCCTCAAAGAGGGGAGGGGTGGAGATCTTACAATCTCCCTACTCCTCAGGGCTATTTCCTTCCCACGCTGACCAGGTTTCGTGGATTTCCCTATGCTCTGGTTTCCTAGCCAGTGCTTGAGAATGGCATTCTGCAGCTCGATGCCCTCTTTTCCACACTTGAAACAGGCTGAGGGTTTCGGAGAAGGTGTCGTTTGTGGATTGAAAGGCTCTTGCTTCCATTGGGGTAGGGATTTCGTCCACATTCGCCCCGTTTGTTACTGGTTCCTAGCCATGTCGATCTCTGCCTCTTCAGCAGTGGGATATCATTAATGTAGGTGGTTTTGTATCCCTCAGGCCACGCATGCACTGTAGAGGTCATCACTCAGCCCGCCCTTGAACCAGATTACCAGGTTGCTGCCCTTCCAATGCCTCTTTGTTGCCGTTCTGGTTCCACCCGGATGTTGAGATTTTCCAAAATCCCCATCACCAACTGGGTTACATATCTCTTCAGACGATCCTCTCTCAGTGAGGCTTCATTTAGCTCCTCCTGGTCAAAGGGACCTTCTAACTCCAATTTCCACCCTGGTTTTCGGCTACCTCGGGTAAGAGTGACTCCCCTGGTTCTCCCATCCAAGCCGTCTTTCGTCCCGATGCAGATTGACCAGTGGGGCTTTTTGGGGTCCTCAGGCTCACCTCATTCTCTCCGACAGGGTACATGGAGCAGGTCTCTGGTTTGGGGTGGTGGTGGTTGACGTCTCCCTCCAGCAGTCAATTTCCCCTTGTTTGCTGTTATGCTCAGACATAGTTTGCAGGGTCCCCTCGGTAGAGCAAATGTTGTCTCTCCTGCTTGACCGTTTTGCAGATATTGCTTTATCAGTTGAATTGTAGTCTGATTGATATATCTGATAGGTTTCACACATCTGAAGAAGATTAGAAAATCTAAGCAATGTATGAAATATAAACCACACCCACCTGAATTTAATGCTTAATGTAACAAAGGGAGATTCCTGTTTGTTTTTTAAATAACTGTTGCAGAACATTTTGGGAGAATGAAAAGTAACTGCAAAAAAGATAACCAAAATTCTTTTTGGATCTTACAACCTGGCAGTTCTTGTTTTTGCCAGTTCACAAAAACATGTATGTTTGAAGATAAATGCGCTCTTCAATTAATGGAATAGAAGCATTTAGATGTTCATGTGATTTGAACAAGCTTCTCTTTGTATTTAATAATTTATCATTACTCATAAATGGAATCAAATTCATTATGCTTTGATTTAGCAAAGAGTCCCATGATCTAAAACCAAATTAGACAGACATGAGAAAACTATTATCTGAATACCAAACATTTATGACTTTCTTTTCTTTTCTCCCCAGCTTTAGAGCATTCTCACAATAGGGATTCTACTTTGGGAAATGCTAGGTATGGTAT